CCCTCCAAAGGGAGCCGTAAGTTTTCGTTGTTTTGTTGGCTGTGAAAGCTGGCTGAGCTGTCAACTTTTGTAGCTGCGCTGTCTTTATATATTTGCTGATAGATTCGCTGATACCTAAATATGTCTGGTGCAACTGCTGCTGCAGCTGCAAAGAAGTTGAAACTGCCTTCAAAACGAAGAGATTCTAACACTTTGGACAGCCTCCCATCCAAGAAAAAATCGAAACCAGTAGCTGGAACACCTGATGCCTCTGCATCCCTTCCTGCTGATGATTCATGTCCCATTGAATCCTCCACCACTCAGCAACTCCCCAAACTTAAGAATTCACATAGAAACAAGGACGCCTGTCCCTGTAATAAATATACTAATGAAACCGCGCGCATTCAGCGTAAGGCTTTTCGTTTTTGATTTTACAAATGACAAAGCAACTCTTAATGATTATTAATGGAATTATCAGATATTTATAATTCAATATGTATTGATTCTTCTGTGGAAAATAAAAATTGTATTTTACTTAAATTGTATTTTACTTAACACAAGGGAGGGAGCTCTTGCTAAAGGGGGGGGGGGGGGGGGGAGGGTTCTCGTATCAAGGGATGTGAGACGTATGTGCCAAAGGCATGCAAGGGGAGTGAGCTGATCAAGTGTTCTTAGGTATATATAATGGAAGATAGATGGTAGTAGTATGAAGTATCGCATTCTATCCTAGTTCCTCAATGGTTTCAGAGGATGTCAACAGGTGCTTGATTCTGACGGATTAAAAAATAAAAAAAGAAAAAAAAGAAAAAAGGAAGCAACTCACGGTATCACTATCATAAGAGACATGTTTCATCATTTACCGGAGTTGCAACCAAATATACACAATAAATATATTACATATTTGTGCTCTGCTTTAGCATCACTTGACTATTTAAAAAAAATTGTTTGTTCAGGCCATGACCTTATAGTCAGCCAGTTGGCCATTGCTATATTATGTGTATATTGTTTGAATATTCTTTCTTTACAAAAAATATACACAATAAGGTTTGGTACTTTATCCGTACCTCCCCTTTCATAGAAATAATAGCAAAAATATACACCTATCTTTAAAAGATCAACATCTGATATAAAACATTCGATCAACCAAAATTAAAACAATTTTCCTGTTAATAATATAACGGCACTCATAAGAGGTCATACTAGGTATAAGTCCAAATGCTGTGTCAGCAACCGTTTTTGTTACTTTCTTTTCTTCTAGACTCCTCACACCATGAACTGATACCACTATGCTTTTAAGGATTTAACGGATATATCTACAGCAGCAAGAAATCTGATGACAACGTCCTTTCCTCTGCTTGGCAATTGGATTACTGACGGGACATTTTATGTCGCTGATCGCTCTTAAGATATTTCCCCAATATATTTCATTCACGTACGTGCAGCCAAGCAGTTATAAAAAACAAATATCTTAAAAGTTTAAATAGCATTTAAAAACCCGAATTTTCAAATAACTGAATGTAATTAACAAATGATACTTAACGGGCAATACTCTTAAAATATTTGTTTCAAGACTGTCGACCATTAAAACTAGATGTTCGTTTTGGTTGTATCACGTCGTGACCCCCACTGTCGTTTCACTATAGTGTTAGAGTTTTTATGATACAAGGGGAGCCGCGCACTCGTGCGCGGCGGGTCATACAACGTATGACAACGTTTTGGTAGGCTATAGACCTATAAGAATGCAAGCGCTCGATTTTACTTGTAGGTTTTTAACCTACTAAGACGCGCGCCGAGTTGGACTTGACATATAATACGTTGCATGCCACTTTTCTCTTAACGGGTGATACTCTTAAAATATCTGTTCCATGTATTGGTCCAACTCTGCGCGCGTCCTGGTAGGTTGTAAACATACAACTTGTCTTTGATGTTTGTGATACAAACAAATATTTCATTACCTGGGGACCTCAGGCTATCATGTTCATTAACATATAGAGTAGAGATTCGGCGGAATGACAGGCTGAGCGCGGCCCAGTTAACGGGTGATACTCGTAAAATATCTGTTCCAACTCGGCGCGCGTCCTGGTAGGTTGTAAATGTAAAGTGTAAACCTACAAGCGGCCCAGTAAATATTTTACGAGTATCACCCGTTAAGATTTTACTTAAAACAAATAAATTGCAAGTCCATCTGTGCGGCATAATTAAAATTACATTTTATTTATATCGCCTACATCATACATAGCATAATAAACAAAAATTTAGTGGAACAAAGATTCGCATATATTATATTTGAATATGGTATACTATAAAATGCCTTGAGCATATAATGCCTCCAAACTGCCACAAAAAATCGGTTGAATAAAAATTGGTTATCGCGACGTGAGATACTGTTTGCTGTTGCATGCATGTAGTGTCACGTTCACGCCCGCCATTAAAATCGTTTTCTATGCTGAAATAAACGTACGTTGAACGCGCCAAATCATACTTTGCACACACTTTTATACGTCGCGCGTTCCAGAATATGCCGTAGTATTATCAGTTTTATATGAACATTAACCGGGTGTTCCCATTTTTACTAAAGTTCGAAGAGTTTAACTTAGAAAACCCCAGCTACATACTTCAATTTAAGAAGAACTTCAGAAGCCTAGAAATGAATGGTTTGAGAAGTCATAAAAGAACGACAATCAGTCTTGACCAATAGTTAGGCGAGAGAGCTAATACCCAATGCTGCATGGCTCCACCGGTATCTTGAATAGTAGACCAGTCACCACTGGCCTTTATTACTTATAATATGAACACAACAAGTTAGCCGAGCTGTACAGAAAACATGGCATTCTGATACTCAAAACTCGAAATATGGTTCTTAACCCAATATACCAGATTACAGGTCTTGAATTACCGCTTCTAATTTTTAGTAATACGTTCTTCAAGAGTCACGTGTCAAAGAGTCACGTGTCAAAGAGGATCGACTTTATCATATCATTGAATTTCAAATATTGACTTGAACAAAGGCGGGATATTAACGTTACGTTTTCCTTCTATCAACTACTAATTATTTCAGACACTCAGTCATGCTAAATCTTCTAAATCAACTGTTACATTCACTAGACCGCCAATATCCGTCTTTCGTCCGAAGTTGGACCTTTGTACTATTACTAACGATTTCGTTGAAACATTTACGACGGCTATAATAGATATTGGATAGTGATTAGCTGTATAATAGTAACTCATGTGTATGTTTGTTAGCTTGCACATTGGAATACACGATACAGTCATGATAAACACAGTGAATTACACTGTAAAAGTAGTTTAGCTCAGCCTGTTCATTTCAAGGGTCTTATGTTATGAACAGGGAAACGATCTGTACATTTCAGATTAGCGGATCTATACTAAAGATATCCCTATCGAGTTATCTTCAATACCCTCACTCGCGTTTACAATTTTACTATTACAATATCTTGGAATCTAGGTATGTGAAATATTGAGTGTGTAAGAACAGTCACGTACTGCTAATAAAGTTCACTGTCTATATTCCTACTTATCATTAGTTAAAGTAGCTTAGCAGTACACTATTATAAGGTAGACGTCTCTCTTTCTTAACATTCAAAGGATCTATACTATCTTATAATGTGCTGAGGTAAATAGGTTCCCGGTGTTCATTCGGCTGATACATGTGAGCTTGTTTTGACACGTGACCAATGCAGTTGGAGCAGTCAAAACTTAAGTTAACAACTTCGTAGAAAGACAAGTTATCTAGTACACATTAGTTCTGATCGGTAACCAACGAGTTCAACATAAAAGCTGGTATTCGTTGTTTGCCAAAGTAAACATTGTTTACATTCTAACCACAATAGTTTGCTGTATAGTTAAAGTAACCGGTTTAAAACAAGTGTACTTCATAATGTACACAGTACAAAGACACGGGCGAGTGCGTTAAGTAATGTAGTAATGTATACAAGTTATAACATGTAACAGATGCCGCTCAAGTGTAGAACTCCTTCGTTACGATCTTACTAACGAACGTAACTGTTGAAATAATTTATTGAAATGGAATAAAAAGAGAACGGAAAACTCCAAAACACCTGTTAGCGTTTTAAACTCAATTATATTTATCAACTATTCATAGTTTTGAGCAATATATTGAACATGGCGAGTGTATGATATAAGAAAACAAAAGTAAAACCGCGTTATTGCGCTCTGCCGTAAGCAGTTTTCTGAAAAAAGTGCTTAAAGACCATTTTTGAAAATTTGGATTTTTTTGTCTAACTTATGTTTTTGGGTCAAGAACTACCCCTGAGAACCATTGGATACATTCGCCGACCTCCTGAAAACCCCCCTTTTTGGAACCCCCTTAAACTCTTAAAATGCAAAAAATGGTAATTTTTCTGAGAAAAGTGCTTAACGACCATTTTTGAAAACGGATGCCGTTTATTTCAAGAATGATGCCATTTCGGGAACTTAAAATGGTTGCTGTTTTGTTGTTTTAGTTACCGATCTTACAGTCTAAAAAAACTGTGATATAAAGAGTGCTTTTAAAAGATTTCAAATAAAGTGATGATGCACCATGTTATTATTGTATAATACTCAATGTGTTTCATCTTCTTAAATCACAACTGTTCCTCTGCCGATTTAATACACGATACTCCATGTGTGTAATGTTACGTGTATGTTAGTACTAGAGGAGGAGTTACAAAAGCTGGACACCGAGTTACGATTCTTGAGAGAGTTCTCATTGGTTAGTTTGTGTCACGTGGTCTTGGGAGTTGTTGACAGATTTAGCGAATTTTGATGGCAAAATAAAGAGATTTTCTGAAAAGTAAGCTGCATTTTACTGCATTTATTTGGCGCACTAACTCAAGCGTTAAAAAGTGTTTTATATAGGGGGTGCTATTATAAGGGTGTATTGTGTGTGCGTGTGTGTGTGTGTATGTGCGTGTGTGTGTGTGTGTGTGTGTGTGTGTGTGTGTGTGTGTGTGTGTGTGTGTGTGATGTATTGTAGCTTTGTAGAAGTAAAACTCGGGGGATTCTTAGAGAAATTTATTCTATCAAAAGAAATCTGATGTCGCTGCAAACGGTATATATATCAGTTATGTTAAAAAGCAAATTGTGTTTATTAACAAATCTTTTGTATTCAGAATAGCATGCCTAATCAAAAACTATGCAGCCATAAATCAAACAGTTGTATTTCTCTCAATTAATGTGCGTACAAACTGCCATAAATTGAGAAACAATAGAAATTACAAATCATCGAATCCAGACAGCCTCAAGTGTCTTGTTTGTGTAGTCTGGGCATGTTTTCTATAATTTCGAGTTTCTTCTTTTAAATTCAGCTTTCATGATTTTATGAAAGCTAAAATTTTCCACCAAATCAATTAATCCGTGAAAGAAGGCGAGATAAAATGGTGGTGGTGATCACGAGTTCAATTTAAATCAATATTTTCAACATCTTAAAAACACGAATCTACATTCTACAATTACTTCTATAATATACTAATATATTATCATTATACAACTGATGCTAAAAATCATTAAAAATATCTTCATGTTATAATTCTGCCTTGGTAACAGCCCTATTAACAGCTTCAATTGACGAAAAGGCATAAAATCATCATCATCATCGACTTGAATTCTGTAAGCAATGTAGATAAAACTGCGTAATTTCAGCCCGAATAGGGCTAACGTTAAAATTCCAACTAGTGCGAATAGGAGGCCTAGATTTAATTAATTAATTACTAAAATTAACTTGTATTGTTTTTTGCCCCTCTTGATCGGTCTTCCAATTGGTTTCAGTTCAATTATTTAGTTACATCTTAGAAATATAGCACAGTTCTTAGGAAGCGAAGGTAGTACTTTAAGAAACATACATTAGTTATAAACTATCGTATCAGACTTTTAACAATATTTGCTCGGAAACGAAAATTTGACTAATATGATAAGGAGAGATAAGAGTAGAATTTAGGGGCATAAATTTCTGAAATGATTCCAAATTAAGAACATGCAAGAGAACAATCGAGTCTTCCGGCTGAGCCAAAACAACTCCTAAAACTGAAAGAAAATTTTTAAACATTCATCAAGATCAAAAATATCTGAAACCCTTGAATCTGTATACCCAAACACGTGCGAAATCATCAAAACTAAAATTTTAAAAATTATCAGCTATTAACAAATTTATTATATGTAACTTGGCTATTATTATCAAAGAGCTCGTTGTGCTTTTTCAACTCGATCTTACAACCAACACACCAAATCACGTGACGTGTTCAATGAGCATGGGCCGAGGGCTCGGATCTTCTTCTTGTGAAAGTAAAATATACAGAGTCTGATTTTATTCGTTAGGTCTCGTCGTATTGGCCTTCCATGGCAACGTTGAAATCGTCCAGTTGCCATTTCAGGGTTTCGAAAGAGGGCCTCTGACTCGCTTCCTGCTTCCAGCAGTCCTTCATAATGGAGTAGTAGTCGTCAGGGCAACCAGTATGCTGTGGCATGCGGTAACCTGGGCAAAATATTATGTAAGGTTAAGATATCTAGAGGAACTGGAGGTGCATATTTGACAGTTATTTAGGGTATCAAATATCTGTTTTGTATTCTTTTAAATAGTGCTGTATAAGAATTCCAAATCAGGCTATATGACGGATACGATATATGACGGATACGAATTGGGTAATATCGTTTGAAAACATTAATAAATAGTTTTAAATATGGCACCTTTTGAGGAATAACACTTCCATTATTACATAAAACTCTGTGTTACTGTATAAATAATTAAAAAGGCTAATTATTAATTAATCGAACGAACCTCCTTCTATTTTCTCAAGGACTTCCTGTCCTCGCATTCCAGGATACGGAACTTTTCCAAGGGTTATTATCTCGTACATTAGAATTCCAAACGACCACACGTCACTTTTTATCGTATATCTGCGGGGGTGCAATTAGATTAACCATATGGTCAATTAATCGAAGAGAATGTATATTACTGCATAGTTTTTTCTAGAGCGAATCTAGGTATAGAGAGAATCTATAGTATTAATAACAATAAATAAAAATTGAGACCCTGCCTACACTACAGAACAGCTGGTACGACTAATGTAGCCTCGAGGCTGGGTGTTTGTACGAGGAGTACCTCACTACCTCACACCAGTTCTTCAAATCATTCTCTAATTGTTTGCATGCCTCACACACATTCTACACTAATTCCATAAACATCCACATTTTTCTCATGCACCTTCTCCGGTGTCTAAATCACGCAAGCAGAAGGTCTCTCAGATAATGTTTACCTGTGATCACCTTTTAGCAAAAGTAACGCTCATGTGGCAGGTGTGCAGCAGGTGTGCGCAGCAGTGTGTGCAGCAGTGTGTGTTACAATTACCTATAATGCTAGTAAGCTACGTATTATGTTCCCTTAATATTCATCATGATCTGTTAGTAGGCACATAACAGAGCAGCTCAAGAAACCACTTTGAGTACAAAGTAATTACAACATCACAATATATACACATCTACACTACAGGAGCTGAAACAGTCATTATCTAGTCGTTATCTACTTAATTACACACGTGCATTGTTATGTCGCGCGCGCATTGAGCACGAGGAATAGGCTCACTCTCCAATCTTACACACTTATAATGAGTCTTATACTATAGTCTATCATATAGTCTATACCGTACTTATAAATAGTTAACTGAACATTTGTAGATACTAATAAAGTGAAGATTGGCTCTCATGAATCTAACAACATGATTATCATGAACTGCCGAATGACGAATTAGAGTCCCTCACTACTCAATAACATATTCAATAATCATCCTAATAGCGGACTAATTACAGAATAATTGTGCTAATTATAAACTAATTACACAGCTTCTCCCTCAGAACACCCTTATATAAAGCGTGTTTGGAGAGTTAGAGAGTGTAGTAGTAGAGAGCACCTACAATATAATATATATTCTAGTACAATAACCTTTACACAGACACAAGGTACACATGTTACACTGCAGTTGTATTACGTGAGGAAGTGTGAACTTGTATCCTGTGATTCTCTGACCACTGTTTTCTGGATCTACACTGTGCTGTGTGAAGTGAAATGTGTCTGTGATTATTATTATTATATTGGGTCTGTAACTTTATTGTGGGTCTGTAATGCTAGATTGAGATTTAGAGGTCAAAAAGAATGTGAGGAATCCATTTTATGTTATGTGCCGTGGAGTTTGGGAAATTTTAGTTATGAAGATTGAAGATGCCATATATAATATAGTGGTTTTCAATACAGGTCATGAACGTATTGTACATTATGTAATGTGCGCAAAGTGTGTAATACATACTCATTGAAATGTTGTACTTTGTTCAGAACGCTCGCGCTTGTGTCTTAACTCTTAATAACTACTAGAACTGTAAGGCGAGGTAGAGAGTGCCAACTCTGCAGTCTGTGTACATCTTTAGTTGCTTCTGTCACGTGATTGGTCGAGAGGTGTCCTCCTGTCGAGTGATTGGTCGAGAGTTGTCACAACTCAATACACTTCAGCAGAAACTCTTTAGCTATAGTTGTCAGTTGATTTTGTCAAGAAGGGCCACACCTAGGCTCTACCCAAATGTAAGATGACAGAGTTCAATAAGCTAACAGTTAGTAATAGCAGTGTATTATATAATACAGTAGCTGTCCTACTTCTAAACCATTTTTGAGATTTAATTCAAATTGAAATTTGAGTACTTTTCCTCAGAAAAACAGTCGCCGTACATTCTACAGCAGTCAGCAGTGTTATACTGCAGTTGAATAACAAATCGCAGATGGCTTGGCAAAAATGTGAACTGTAAATCTCATAATAAACTAAGCCTTGTGAATTTTATTTAGTTCCGAGCTCGTAACCCCTTATTTTCTAGACCATTTCTGGTTCTCATATTCCTGCCTCTTCGCTTATGGGCAGAGGATAATTATTCTCCAGAATTAATGCCCGTGCTAGCAATAAACACTCCCCAGGGGACCCGGCACGTGTGACGTGACTATTACACAACATCTGTTATTAGTCCCCTTTTTGTTGCAGGCTGCAGTAGTTACACGTAAGAAATGTGAGCATCGCCTCCCCACAATTATATAAAGTGGACACACAGGAATTACGAGGGTACTGCAATGAGGGGAAGCAAATAATGTTCACTTAATACGCCACACCATGAGGTTGGAATTAACAGCATACTTACTTTGAAACTTGACATAACAGTGCTAAGTACAGCTTCTGCAGAGAAAGGTCGCAACCATTGGAACCCCCCCTAATCTGCTTGCTGTGTGGACTGTGGCTGTCAATGCTTTGTAACGAGTCAATGTTTTCTAATTAGTCAGTACTTAGTGATTATTTGGTGACCTGGACTGATGGGGATTTTTACGATTTTTACGATCAAACAAACATTTTTTTATACGTGGATCATACGTGATATTTTTAACCAGATAGGTTTATCATACTTTACAAGCTGTAGTCTGTACCAGAGTTACAATATCTAAGTTTAAATGATTGTTCAAACTAGATGCACTCGGATGTAACTCGAACCAGCCGCATTATGAACTTTAAAACACAATAACTGCAATCACATGATTCTGTTCCATGGAATTTAACAATGTGAGGTCTTAATTAACTTACCACGACAATCTTATGTAACCTAATAATACGCACAACGTCATGGATCAAGATCGAAACTCAAAAGCGAAAACTAGATTTTATCAACCAATCTAGTCAGACCTTTACATAATTAAATTACACGAAGTTACATTATGATACCGTAATTACTCGGTCCGACCATCAGAGATTTAGCTGCCATGATAATGTAACTTAGGGTTGGTCCAAGAAATCACGTACACAAGAAACATTTCATTATTGAAGTTAATTTTAGCAGTGATACACACAGAACAGTGCAGCGTTTCCCCACGTTTAGCAGAGTTTCCCCACAACTTGAAAGGTAAAACTCACACAACATGATGGATCGCATTTCCTGTCTACAAACGGGCCCGTGTGCGTAAGTTATGTAATATGTACCCGAAGTGTGTAGCTCGGGATGTGAATGTTATGCCGGATAATGAACTCCGACTAATATCTTAGCATTTTCCTGTGTTTATGTAATTACACACATACTACACATACTTGGGGGGTATTTACATAGTTGCAGTTCTCTCACCTGCCACTCCTATGAAGAACCCACGTACAGGTACCGAGTTTAGTAGAAGGATTATAACAAAACATCATTAGTCTTACAACTGTAAAATTAGCTTTTTCTTCTCTTGTAATACTGATGTTTTCTAGAGAAAAAGCTAATTCATCCTTATTAAACTAAAAACATTTATACACTTTACCATTGAGGCAAATGCCACCTCATCGCGGGACTACTACTATACTACTACTACTATACTACAACTTACTACTACTATTCACGAAAACAAAAGTTTCACTTACTTTTGGTAGAATGCAGCCTCAGGGACTACTATACTACAACTTACTACTACTATTCACAAAAACAAAAGTTTCACTTACTTTTGGTAGAATGCAGCCTCAGGGACTACTATACAGTATACTACAACTTACTACTACTTTTCACGAAAACAAAAGTTCCACTTACTTTTGGTAGAATGCAGCCTCAGGAGCTGTCCACTTGATTGGGAACTTGGACTTCACGTCTGCCAGATAGATATCCTCTCTTGATAACCCAAAGTCAGCTATCTTACACAGGTGGTTCTCACCTACTAACACGTTCCTGGCTGCTAGATCTCGGTGAATAAAGTTCTGAAATAATGAACATGATAAATTGAAGTTTAATAACACTATTAAGACTTTAAAACTAATTTATGTTACGGGTAACATATGCTTGAAAATTAGGATATATGTTGAGGTCTGAGGAGAAAGAGCTGTTATTTTACACGCAGTCCAATGAATCACACTAAAAATTTGAATCATCCTAATTTTCTTTACATTCATTCATTTTTATCACAATTTGACATTCGATATGATCTAGATCCCCAGAACTTACATTACCATCTACACATTCTAAAGACAGTGTAATTTAATTAATAAATTAATTACACGCACAGTAATTACACTAGAATATCACAACTCACCTCAGCTTCGAGATAAGCCATACCGCTAGCACACTGGCCCGCCATGGTAATAAGTACACCCATGTTACCCTCTCGAATCAGACTGTTACCCTTTTTGTGGAGGTAATCTTGTAGGGAGCCGTTTATCATTAATTCTGTGATAATCCAAACTGGTTCCTGGAGAAATGATTATCAGGGGTGGGTCTAGGTATGTGCGGAATTTTAATTGCATGTAAAATAGATAACTTACATTTATAATTTATGTCATGATTTTATATAATATCGTGTGTGCATTGTGTAAAGGTGTTAGTTAAGTATGGTGCGTAGTACGATTTATGATATTGATTATTGATTATTGATCAAATGAAAAAACTATTGTAATTTAGTTTTAAATTTATATTAACGAACTTGTGGTGTAACGTACTACAACGAATGATGAACATGAAATATATTATGCAAATAACTTGGTTCACCACCAAGTCGTTACAATCATATTATTATTCGTATTATCAACAATCATAGGTATGAGAAGATGTTAAGGAAAGCTTAATCAGAAAAGTGAAGAGTCGGTATTTGATCGTATTTCAGTGACCTATAAATTCCCTTATCTTGGATACGAGCCAACAATATAGGTATTGAGCGAGATGAGTCATGAAGATTAGGGCCAGAGTTGCTATCGTAAAACTGTGACGTACACGGTACATGATGTTTCTAAAGAACGTACCATTTAAGGACTTTTACTTTTTTACTTTTACTAGGCAGGTTGCAAGGTGGTATACGGGTAGATGGGGCGGATACTGGTGATTTAATCCGAACAAGCACGATCAAACCATGTTTAACATTCCAGCTTGAGTCGGAATGTATCGAGGAGCGAGGAGCTACACATAATACTTTTTAGTCCTTGTAGGAATCTTGTAATTAGGATACAGGTTGACCCTTGTGTATGATTGGAATTGGATAAAGATATAAACATATTATATAATATACTATTATTATATATTATATCTTTATATATTCATTTAAATATTTACACGGACCTCTCTAGAGCAAATAGCCTTGAGCTGGAGCACATGGGGGTGCTTGAGTCGCTTCATTACATTAGCTTCCTCCAGAAACTTATCAGCGTCCATGGTGCCTTCTTTCATAGTCTTTACAGCCACTCTTACCGCGTTGTTCCATGTTCCCGCCCACACCTGAGAGTCGTTAATTAGTTATTTAACTAATTAATCAATTATCTAATTAATAAATTAATCGATGAATGAATTTGATTAAAAAATAGGAAAATTGAATTGATGTGCCTAAAGCACTAATAAATTAGACCTGTTATTAGTAATTATAAAAACTAAGAACACATTACTTGTGACGACTAATACTAGGCTCTCATGTCATCAAGGCGCAAAATGAAACCTTAGTAGGATAAAGGTGTCAAATAGTTAAGTTTACTATCACATGAAATTCACATTTAGTGAACTGCTGAGACCGTTTATGTTGGCCATGCATGTGTAACAAGTCTTCCCGCTTACAAATACAAACAGATGGGACACTTCAGAGTTCAGAGTACCCAGAGTAACACAACACCTCGCATTTCCTGGTAGAAGTAGAGCTCCCAAACTCACGGTAACACAAACATTAACACTCTCACATTTCTCAAGTAGAGCTCCCTAATCGTCTACCTCCTCTAAGCAGCCCTACTAAAAGTAGAGCTGAACAATAATAATTACACGCTATAATTACCTACTCCTGTCTTACTGTATTAAATGTATAATATTTATTAACCTCTCCGAAGCACCCCTGTCCCAGCCTCTCGTGGAGCTGGATAGTGCTCCTGTTAACTTCCCACACATCGTGTGCTAACCCGTCCGTCTCTGGGGTCTCTTGGTGTTTGGGACACACGTACGTCAGCTTTATTGACAACCCTGAAGGTGGAGATGATTTTAGGTTCTTGGATACGTATCGGATACGTATCGGATACGTATCAAATACTTTTCAAACCTTAAATATGTATCTGATAGATGGTAATTTTAGAGCGGGGAGTTTATTGTCTAAACTTGGATATTCTTTATTGTGGAACGCTTATCAATTTAGAGATTATGTTAACGAGAATTCAGGGTATTGAATATGCTCATTTTCAGTTTATCATTGAGAATATCGAGTTGTATAATTATTAAAGGTAGTATTGAATGTGAATGTCGCTGCTTTTAAGAAGACTGATATCTGACACCGAATTTCACAATAGGCGAGGAATTCTTTCAGGAGTAAGTCTACTTCAGCAGGAAACTGATGTGAAAAGCTGTTTCAGGTTTCAAATTTGGGAATGTTAAATGGGACAGTGCAGAAGTACACATTGAAGTACACATTGAATATTATATAATATGAGGTGCGATAATTAACTTAACATAAATATCTTGCCCGGAAATGTCCGTCACTTGCAGAAAAAATGTTTGAGATGAGTATTCAAAGAGAGAGAGAGATCCAGGAAGCTTGCTTACCATCAGAATTTATTATGGCCAAACAAAAACTATGCAGATTCCGGGCCCCACATTATATTGCCGTGCTAGAGAATAATAAATAGTATTCGCACTTAGCTATCACTGTATTATAAAATAACTCTAAAGAAGAGAGCTGAGGAGAGGAGTGACGTCACACGGAGAGTCCGGATCATGAATAGGCAGAATAAGCACCTGCTACTTATATGATAGCACACTGAGAGTGTGTGTGTGGGTAGAGCTGGGGGGGGGGGGGGGGCTCTCTTCAGTACATGCAAGTGATGCAGCTCGCTAATTACTTTGTTATTGAGTCTTTTAGGGTTGATTACGTTTGAGGAGTGGGCCGAGCAATAGAGTATCCTACACAGATGTTCGGAAATATGATACACTAAGAAGTGATATAATCAAACAGGATAACACCATGTTATTAAACAGCTTTTTAGTGCGTGATTACATTCCCCACATTGTCTAAAAATAGATGGAAATTGTAAGGAGCAATGTTAGGGGATCATTGAGCAAGTAGAGGAGAGCACCCTTTCTCACTCATGAGATAGAGCCACAACATGAGCCGGCAACTCCTTTAAAGTGAAATGTAGGACTGTAGGAATATGTAGGAATATTATTGATTATGTAAGGACGTTTGGTAATCTTACACGATACACCTAGCTTACTAATGCATCCCACATCTAACGTATCACATGAAGGGTGGTGTTGTAATCTGGTTACACAAATGTAAGTTATGTAAAGTGTTACCGAATACCGCGTGTGTTATAGAATAAGGAGCAGTCTAAAATGTTAATAAAAAGATGAAATTATTATTATAGCTGTTGGGGGCGTAGTTCTCCTACATTCTTACATTGTACACTCAGGACATTAAGTTTGCATACCTACCGTGAACCAGCTAAAATCATCTTGTAAGAATACGTGTCTTGCGGAGATTTGCTTTATGCTTGCAAATAAGTTGTCTAGCGTGTAGCGGAGGTACACGTTTAAATGATTTCATGTGAAAATGTAACTTCTAAAATTTTAAATTTTAAAACTTCCAAACTAAATGCCGGCGTTGATCTGTTAAATTCCATGCAGGAAAAATGAACATGCAGGAAGAATGAACGTTACCCTTGTTTTGTCGGTAGTAAGCAATAAGTTCGTGAACGTTAGGGAACTCAATCTTGTTACTGATGAACACCTCGCCTGTCTCTGACTTGGTTCTTATACAGAAGTGTTTTATCACGGCTGACCCAGCATCGTTGTTTTCTCCCCGAACAGACAGGGACAAGGTTCCAGGCCTAGTTTCACTCTCACGCACCAGGAACGAGCCCGGCTGGGTTTGCTTGAGATAGGCTTCACTGTCGCTTCGTTTAATTAGACCGAAATACCAGCTGAAAAAAAATAGTGGTCACTCACCACGGTTGTTTGAGTAGTAGTCAATGAGTTCTTGTACACTGTCAAAGTTGAAGTTCATAGAGATGAAGTACTGTCCAGTCTCGCGTCGGCGTATGTTATAATGTTTGATAAGTTGTCGGAGGTCGGTGGTTTGCGCGTTACGCAGAGACAGACTCAGAGTACCAGGTCTTGTCTCACTTTCTCTGACCAGGAAGGTTCCAGGCTCGGAGTTCTTCAAGCTCTCGTCTGCTTCTCGTCGTTTTATCAAGCCAAAGTACCATCTTGTGTGTTGTCAGTGTGTTTGTCAGTGTGTAAAGTGTAATTTGTAATATTTCGTCATTTGTAAAAGTTGCAACACACCCATTGTCCCATTAAGTAATAACAAGTACTGTTTTAATCGACACACTGTAGATCATTGTTAATTTTATTTACAAACTGATGACTACAAATAACAAAAAGACACGTGACACTGTCTGGAGTAAAACGTGACATTATCACGTGAGATAAGTGATTACTCACGCTTTAGCCTCGAGAGAGTGAACAGAAGCAACATAGTTAGAGGGGATGTAACCTTCCTCTCTAGTGCGGGTGTTTCTGGCTTTCCACCAGTCCGAGTTGCTCTTATCCAACACCACTAAGATATCATCCTGTAATGTTAATAATTAGTGTTAAATTAGTGTTAAAAATTACCAGTGTGGACTGTGGCCCAATGGGATGAAGGCAAATTTATCCAGTTAACATAAAGTTGTGAAAATGAGAATTGAACGATAGATGGAATTTCATTTCAATAGAAGCAGACATTATTATTGAAAACACGTTACAGATAATACAGAGCACCCACTAGATAATACTCCATAATAACTATGCACCAAATAACATTATTTTTACTCATTTACCTAGTGTGGTAAGCAAAGAAATGTTTAACTATGAATTAGCAACGACCTGGCTTGAAATATAACCTTGGCTCTCTATCAGCTGAAAATGAATAATTAAAACAGAAGACACATACCTTCTCAAAGCTAATATCAGAATTAGTCCTCTTTTGGTAAGCATATAGGGCTATAACAGATGTGTCCTCTTGTCCTGCAACAAAGAGATACATGGAGTTAATAAAATTCAGATTTATTGAGGGATACAGTGAAACGAGGACATTGAATGGGAACTGATGTTGTGAGCATACAGTTTACAGAAATTTGAATATTGAACTTTTTAGTGAAAATCAGGTTACATGTTGATTGTTATCTTATAATTAGACAATACAGTTTGTGTCGCATATACTTATAGTTATTAGTTATATATAAACTCCTAAAAGTACAGGATATAACAATCTTACCCAGGCTAGATTGTGGAGGGGGCGGCGGAGGTGGTCTCTCCGTCAGTCCATTGGACCCACCCTCTATTGCAGGCTTCTTTTGTTTGGGCTTAGATTCGATACATCCCATAGTATATTGTGTTGCACCTCTTCAAACCATAAAGCTAAAAGTGAAAGTTAAGTTTTAAATTCTATCCTTTTTTTATTGAAATCTTTCAAATCAATCAATTACATACAAATTTACACAATGAATGAACAACATTAAATCTTCTCCGATAAAATCAGATTTTCTAGGACAAAATGTATGTAATCAAAGGACCTGAGGGTCACCAAAACACAGATGTTGAGAGCAAAATGAACCTCCTGCACAAGTATGGGCCCACATTATTTACAATCAAATAATATAATAAAAAACAAAAGCTCCCTTCTTGATAATATCGAAGTGGGGGGGGGGGGGGGGGGGGTGACATGTCCGCCATGTCCTGTCCTTTTTGGATTCTATGAGACAACGGATGTGTTTTTTGGGATATTAGCGTACATTGACGGACATTGGCGGGCTCGGACAAACATTAGCAGACATCCATAAGCTGTCCACTTTTGTCCGCCAATGCAGTGGCGTAACGTTGCCTGTTGGCGCCCCACTGCTGAAAAAGCGTCCCCTTTTTGGCGCCCCTACCCTTTTGGTGCCCCTCCCTAACATTGGACAACTTTTAGGATACGCCGGTAAAATCTCTATAAAAAAGTGTGTTTCTAGATTAAAACGCGCAGTTTTGCTAGTACTGTGTTAATTTTTTCCAAATTGTCCCACATTCAAACGACGATTTGGCCCCTCCTCCGGCGGGGCCCTTTGTTACGCCACTGCGCCAATGTCCTGTCCTGTCCTGTCTTTTTTGGATTCTATGAGACAAGCGGACATAGATGGACGAGTCACCCCCCTTTAATTGAAAAAGAAAAATAACCAAAAGTTAAGTTTTATTTCTTGTTATTACACCACTCTGCAACCTACTGCAATATGTGATCTAAACCTTAGACTGATAAACACTCCCTATACCATGAATGTTCAAGGGATGTCTGCTGGGCGAAGGGCTGGACTGCAGTAGTTATCATTTGAAGCATTTTCTGAATCGTGGAAAGTGTCGAACAATACTGTGAGACCAGGTTGAAAGTAATGTTTCAAAAGTTGGAAGATGCATCTATGAAATATATGCATGAAATAACTTAAGATCAACCACCATTAGTTGGGATATTGCTGAACTTATATGATCGTCTTAATTAGAAAAAAAAGAAAAAAGAATGATAATAAGCATCACGCTTCATTTTCCTGTCAGATCTCGAATCTGGTAACTCGAAACTTGATCCATCAATCTCAGGGGGCCGGGTGTGTTTAAAAATTGGTTAGCGCTGTGGAATCTCCTGCGGGCAGCTCAGCCAATACAACAAAAAATATGCAATATTTCTGACCTTGAAATTAACTCTGCTAGTGTGAAAAGTGAATTACTTCAGCTCAATGTTTATAAAAGTTGTGGACCAGATGGAGTTTATTCTAAATTATTGAAAGCGTTGGCTGAGGATTTCAGATTTGTCAATGCAGTAACTGAATTATTTAAGGGATGTGCTGAAACTGGTGAATTGCCAAAAGTGTGGAATTAAATCAGCATCTGCTGTTGGATTGTTTAAGAAGGGGTCAAATAAAAGGCAGATCCTTTAAATAATCGACCAGTATCTCCGACTATTTTGTGTAATATTTTTGAACTACTTGAAAACTTTGGTATTACAGGAAATCTTTTGGCATTTCAGTTATTGAAGCACCTAACGGGAATTATCAATCATTGGAAATATAATTAAAAATACTTAAATGTAATGCCGTAATGGCCTGGCCTTTGCCAAACGCAAATTATATGTATAATTACAATTGCAATAATTTGACTTGCTGAGAACAGTGATGATGCAAAATGCAATGAAGCAAGACATTTTAAAACCTTTGTAATATATGCGATTTGAATTGTCGAAATTAAAATTTAATATCTTCGTAAATCCTGCGTGCATAACTTGTTTTGTTTTTACAAAAATCCACTTACCTGAGGACCCCAGGCTATTATGTTCATTATTATATTATTTTATATAACCGAATATAGATTTGGCGGAATGACAGGCTGAGCGCGGCCCAGTAAAAATCCACAACATAACAATTGTTGTTGAACATTCAAATTGTTGTACTTGATTAAAAATATTACAAGTAATCATCAACACACAACAGCTCGTTTGGTGTTGTAAATTTATAATCTACCCAGACGCTGCGCTTGACGGATGATACTCGTCCAGATTTTGTCGAAGTTGCCCGAGGCACGAAGCTTCAAAGTATCGTGCGCCGGGTCAGCACATTAATAATGGACAAAAACCGCGCGCGCAGAATTAAACTCGTCGACGGTCTATATTTAGACCTAAATATTTTAAAAGTATCACCCGTTAAGTCTGGCATATTGTTTATATAATAAATACAATAATTGTTTTTGTTTAGATTGTCGTCGCACCGCGCGCACACTATCCTGCCATGCATTATTTTTTGAAATGAAATGAGGTATTTATATCCCGCTCATATGATTAATGAACATTAATAATTTCTTAATTATCGCTTTTTTATTTATTGGTAAAAAGCAATCATTTGATTTTCCAATTCTTTTTTGAACAAAACGTTATTGGAGCGGGGATATATTTACTGGGCGGCGCTCAGCCTGTCATTTTACTGGGTGGCGCTCAGCCTGTCATTCCGCCGCGGAATCTCAATTCGGGATGAGCGAATTACGACTTCCATCGCCCTGAAAAAAAGTGCGAATGCTCATTGGATCTTAGAACGCACGTGACTTGTAGGTTTACAACCTACCAGGACGCGCGCCGAGTTGGACTCGTCGATGGTCCTAATATATGGAACATATATTTTACGAGTATCACCCGTTAACACGTGACAAGCATTCACGTGACCGTTCAGAACCAATTACAGCCACGGCCCACGCAAAAGATTAATAAGATTGATATTTTATTACATCAAAGAGAGGATTCAAAAAAGCTTTGTAAGTCTCAGTAATATATAATGAATAACGCAAGCAGTTCACCAACATCCAAGAATGGGACAGGACAATGAAACTTTACTGGGCGCCGCTCAGCATGTCATTCCGCCGAATCTTTTCGAACATAATACATAATAGCCTGGGGTCCCCAGGTAATGAATAACGCAAGCAGTTTACGAACAACCAAGAATGGGACAGGACAATGAAACTTAACATATTTTCTTGTAAAAGTAGTTTTTACTGGCTCACCCGAAATCAAATCAAATCAAAACACGATACAAATGAAACAAAAGATCATCAAAAATATTAGTAGAAAACATGTTTTTGCCCGTAAGAGCTTTAACTATACCGTAATGAGTTAATTTTGATAAAATAGATTTAACATTTAAATCAGGCTCATCAGCCCAGGTCTATGTTAATGGGATACATGCCATTTCGAAAACTTCATCTGGACGAAACACATATCTATTTTTTTAAATATCCTGTCATCACTCCTGGAGTAATGGATATTATATGTTTATTTCAATAAATTTGATAATCAATAAATTAGAATAGAATCTAGTCTTCTTTTTAGCTGACTCTTCTGCAACCTCTTCCTCTACATTCTCAACCTCATCATCAACTTCCTCATCTTCATCATCAACATCATCACCCCTGTCTTCATCGCTAGTGGTGTGTGCGAGATTTAGGTCCAGTTCATCAACAGGTATTAAAGTAAAATACAATTTTAAGTAAAATACAATTTTTATTTTCCACAGAAGAATCAATACATATTGAATTATAAATATCCGATAATTCCATTAATAATCATTAAAAGTTGCTTATTGTCATTTGTAAAATCAAAAACGAAAAGCCCTACGCTGAACGCGCGCGGCATTTTTTCTGCAGCTGCCTAGCTTCAAGCTTGTAGCCGCTAACATCAAAGCCGCCGCGCGCGCCCAGTGCTGGGGTGCATTCTCATTAACAATTAAACTTGGTCAAAGATATTTATATACAATTCCTAAATTAAATCAATAATCATGTTAATATGAGTATTCAACACTACTCGACAACAAATATTTGCCGGCCCATCAACGATTCAGTCGCCGAAACAAAAATCAAATGTTTGCTTATTCGTTTCGGGGACTGTTTGAACTCAGTACTATATCTATATAATCCGACTAATCACATTTTATAATGGTTAAAATACAAAGTAAAAAGATTTTCCTCGATGGGCCGGCATTCGCAACCGCGAAACGTTTTGAGTACGACAAACGATGACACCACCACCAGCCGTTAATTGATAAGTCCATGGGTGACGGGATAAAGTTAAAGTAAGATGTGTAATTTCATATTGCCTATCACCTATCACCTAAGTTACTTTGCATATACTGCTTCTAGTTACACGATAGCGATCTCAGTTCCCAATAACGTGTGACCCAACAGAGGGGATTGTGGAAGGACACGTACATTTTTCATTAACACGTGCCCTGATTACCCCCTCCGTTGAGCTACTATACGGGGAACGCTGACCGCCAGTCTGTTATGTAGTCAGATCGTTAATAAATTATACTTTAAAATTGGTTGCCGGGTGATGGTGTCAGTGAGAGACGTTAAGTTAGGTGAACATTGGTACAAAAATATAATAATCTAGCAGTTTATCTCAAAGTTAAAATCACTATTTGTTAAAGTATACAAACAGTTCTATTCAAAAGAACAAAGTCCGAGAGCAGAGAGAAGATTTGGAGACTATACACGCATATAGTAGAGGCTCTTACGGGCAAAAAGACGTGTTTTCTGCTACGAGTTTAGAGACCTAACCGCTAATTGGACACAATAGTATGATGTCTAAGGATCGATAATATGTTAAGAAGTATAAATTTGGCCTTATTAGTCACGTGCTATACCAATGCGCGTTTTAAACTTTGACAGTCTATTACTCTAAGGCAAATAAAGTAATTATATCCATATTTTGTCAGCAATAAGATCACATTATTTTCTATTTAGTGTGAAAATATGAGCTAGAACGGACATAATCTCGCTGAGTTATAGCTGTTTGAAATTTATGATGAACGCGCGGGTGCCAATTGATAACAACTAAATGCTTTTGCGCGTAGTGCGCGTCG